ACGCGAAAAGGTACGAATGAAATCAAATTAATATTAAAATCAAATAATAATAATAATAATCATAATCTTAATAATAATATTAATAAAAAATTCGTGAGAGAAAATTGTTGAAAAATAAAAACGGAGGGTAGAGTGTGGTAGCAACGGTGAGATTATCTTTTACATATTTTTTCTTTGTTTGTTTGTTTGGTCTGTAAAACAATTTTCTTTTCAATACTTTAATTTCTTTTTTTCTTTTCTTTTCTTTTCTTTTTCTTTTTCTCTCTGACGGTAAAAGAAGCTAAACGACGATGTCGTTTGAGAAAAATTCTTCGGTCGTCGTTGCTCGTGTAGTTTAAAAAAAAAAAAAAAAAATAAAAGAAAGAGGCATGCATCATAAAAATTTCCTCTCTCTGTGCACAAGTAAATAAAGAGGGGGATGGGGGATACACACACACACCCATAAGCGGTTTTTTGATCTTTCGTTTATATTTTATGTTTTTGTTTTGGTTGTTGTTTTTGTTGCATAAGAAAATTAAAAAAAAATAGAGGAGAGAGAGAGAGAGAGAGTGAAGAAGTCATTCAACCAAGTATCAATCGCAAGCATGCGTAAGTAATAAAATAGAAAGAGAGAGAAACATATACATGTAGACAATTTGGTTCACGTAGTTAAAAGGTACGTGTATGTGTATGTGTATATGTGTATAGAAAATATATTATATATATATATTTTATTTATAGAAAAAATAAAGTGTATATGAAAAATCAATTGAACGAAATACGTTGGGAAAAAAATAACGAAGGAAAAATATACAGATTGAGAGAAAAACGTTAATAATATAATATATATATATATATATTCATGTATATATTATCATCGTTAAAACGTGAAATTCGTTAATTTATGAAATAACCAATTAAATTGTAAAACAATCTCAGATCAATTAAAATATGAAAGAAAGTAGAATCACATAGTGTAACTAATTGTAAGTAATATAACCAGAGAAGTGAATAATTAAATTATAAAATATCAAAATTGTGTGCGATTCTCGTAGATTAGATAAAATAAAAAAACATCCAACGATTAAACAAAACGTTGGTATTCAAAGTACAGGAAATGCGATAAGAACGAATAATTACGAGAATTGTAGTCAAGTAAAAAAAAAAAAAAAAAAAATAACAGGCTGATTTTAACAACAGATTTAATTTCTATTCAATACTTTAACTATTCTCGTCTCTCGTGAATTCATATATTTTATCTAGTTATTTTCTATAATAATAATAATAATTAATCTAAGCTTTATATACTGCGATATTCTGTTTATTTTATTTTAAAAATGAAAATTTTTCACACGTATTAATTGAATTATACGCTTCAACGATAATATATATATATACATACACACACACACACACACACACGAATATATTGATTTACGTTTACACATACACGCACTTACACGCATACACGCACATACATAGAGAGTATTATAAACACATAACGGTATATATATATATATATTTATATATGCAACATTCACGTGCGAGTTACATAAAAAGCAAAAAAGCTGAATCTCCGAGCTCGTGACCTCATAATCGTTTCCTTTTCATCAATCCTCCTCCTTTTCCTTCCTTTCTTCTTTAGCACAAGAAAAACAAAAATAATAAAAATATACTACGATTGAAAAAAAAAAAAAAAAAAAAACGTAACTTCTGCAGACATCGTGAATTTATTCGCGAATGGGTTTTAAGTAGTATACATTTAAAATGAAGAAAACACTTTACTCATTCTCGTAGAGGTGAAAATTAATTTTCTATTAAAATATTAAAAAGGAAAAAAAAATAGAAGAACGAAAACAAGGAGGAAAAAAATCAATCGGAGATCTCAAATATACAAATGAATACTGAATAGATTATGTTCGTTTTATTAAAACCTTCTACATTCCATCCTTGATACCAGATAGGATCCTTTTTAAAAGGATTAAAAAAATAAATTAGAAGAAAGAGTCAGTCAAGAGAAATAGAAAAGGATCAATAGGAATACCATAGACAGAGCAGGTCTTTGATCGCGAAAAATTCTTGAAGAAAATTATCGGAGAAGGAAACAGAAAAAAAAAAAGAAAAAAAATGGGGGGGAAAAAAAAACAGCTAAAGAGATCCCTTCCTTCTTCTTTTCTTTTGACTTTCGAGATAATCTTTTCCATCTTAAAAAAGATCTTGTACGATAGAACGAAAGCAAAAAAGAGAGAGAGAGAGAGAGAGAGAGAGAGAGAGAGGAAAAGAGTAATGATACTGAAGAGTTTGCTATAGATCACGTTTAATGGACGATAATGAATAGTCACGTTATCGGAGTAGAAAAAAGACGTTTTAGTAAAATGCGCACAGAGTCTTGAAATTTTCTTTAAAGAAAGATATTTTTTTTTTTTTTTTTTTTTTACATTAAAACTAAAATTCTACTCTCTAAAAAGATTCGTCATTTTTGTCTTTTTTTAAAGAAATTCATCAAAGGTAAAGAAATAAAAAGAATTAGAAACGATCTTTTTCTATCTTTATTTATTTATTTATTTATTTATATTTGATTTTTCTCTTTGTAAGAAAATTTTTTCGAGACTCCGCGCGTATTTTGAACAAGGAAAAAACATCGAGCACAAAGCCAAAGGTAGTATTATTTTTCTTTTTCTTTTCATTCTTTTTTCGAGGGGAGTTTTGTTGATGCATGTTGTTGGAGATAAGGTAAGAGAAGATATAGTTAGATTGATAGATAGATAGTTAAAGAAAGATAGAATAAGGGTCGAAGGTTATAGGATAAAGTAGTGTGTGGGGTTTCAAGGTAACGTTAATTCTATGTTGTAATTTCATTTTTATGTGTTGATCATTTTGTTCTAAATCGGATAGGATACTTCCTATAAACATATTGGCACATTGTTAACGATATCGTATGAAAAAATATTGTTGGATTAAAAGATTGTATATAAATAGTATTTTATTTTGAATAGAATCTTTTTCCCATGTTATTTAATCTAATTGTAAGATAATTTAAAGTTATTATCTCGAATTAATTTGATTATTAATTTTTTCATTGACAATAAATCTTCTTGGATTAACAATGACACGTTTGAGAGAAAGATTAATCGATTCGAAATTTTATTGGATAAATTTTGAATGTTATAAAGATTTGTGTGTTTAAATGTAATAAAATTGGATAATAAGACTAAAGTCATGGATTATCCGTCAAGATTATTCATTATTCAAACGATTAATCGTAATTTGAAAGTTTCGGTAAAATAACAAAAGTTCCCCCCTCCCATCCTCTAAATGTCGAAAGATCAAGGTTTTTCGAGATAAAGATAAGATTCAAAGTAAACGACTAATAATAATATAAATATCAAAGTTTTTTTTTATTATTGACCGTGCCAATTTGACTTAGGTAGAAGATTGTGGTATATAGTTCAAGGATCAAGATTATTATAATTCATTTGATTCACAAAATTAATACACGATTCTTATCAATTTCAATTGAATTCGTTTGTAATATCGAATACACATTACTTTCATGCTTTTTTCTTTTTTTTATTTTACTTCTATTCGTATTCTCGCGAAAAGAATATCCGAACGATTAATTTATTCAAATTAGTTTTATTTAAAACGCGACAATACAAAATAAAAAAAAAAAAAAAA